GTAAAGAGTCTTAACAATGTATAATACATAGAATATTTTATTCATGTAAAATGTTACTTATATATTACTAGCATTAAGTCAGTGTTCGATTGAAATTTTTCTTGTAGATGTTATTTTCCCATTGTCTAACTGATGGTTCTTAGATGATTTGATTAGAGAAACTAATAATGGGTCAAAATAATAACTGTATCAAATACTTTGACCACTTCTGTGTGGAATTCTGCCTTAAAATTGGTAGTAATAGTTGTGCACTTTCTGTTAGATAATTTAAGTCACCTGTATAAACAATCAGTTCATTCTTCAATCGTTTAATGAGAATGAGAGAGAGAGAGAGTAAATAAAGATATTAAACTGCAGGACTGTTTATATTTTCTGTGTTGTATTATACTTATTTTATTTATATTATACTTATTTAATTTTAATTAATTAACCTGAGATTCACTTTCTGTGGGCTAGTTTTCAACTTTCTTTGTGTTTTCAGCTTGGTGTTCATGCCGAAATACTAAAGGAAAAATTGTATGTGTGTCCTCATTAGGACAGAAATTTGTATTGGTGTGTTGGGAATGGAGCCTGAGGTTTATATAGCTAACTGGTAAATGTGTGACACTGAGTTTCAGGTCATTTTAGAGAAAGTAATATAACAGGTAGTTATATTACAAGTGGTTACATTGCAAAAAATTACTCTCTCCTGGGAGTAATTAATAAAATACTGTATACTACTTATTTACTAGAGCAGTGTTTCCCAACCACTGTGCCACAGCACATAGGTGTGCCGTTGAAGATTATCTAGTTCCACCTGATTAGTACTCTAACACTAGAATTACTGACCCTTTTTTTTCCTGGTGCAAGTCCCTACTACTAGATTTACTAACCCTGCGCAAATTTGTGTAAATTCCCCTGAACCTAACACCTCCTAGCACCCCGCTGAGAGGCCTTCAGCTCCATTGTTCTCCTGCTTTTGTTGTGCAAAAAAAACACACTCTCCCCGAACCAGGAGAGATTGACGTGAGTAACGGGCAGAACAATTGCATTCTCTTCCACTAGAGGGCACTAATTAAATGGGTTGCCACCTGCCAGTAAAACAGAAGAAGGCGAAGAAGAAGTCATGCCGCGAGATGACGCAGCACCCAATAAAAATAGATAACTATTTCAAAAGAAAAAGTCAGTTCCTGGAGAAAACTCCGACCCAGATGAAGGCCCTAGCACGAGTAGTGGTCAGAAGAAAGCAAAAAAGATATACTGGGGACAAACGGAATCAATTACACTATACCTGGTGCGTGGGAAAACAATAGCAACATGCTTTTTGTGACATTTTTGTTTGGTGTTGTGCCGTGTGATTTTTCTAATGTGAAATATGTGCCGTGGCTCCGAAAAGTTGACAAACACTGTACTAGACATGTAATGATTATTGGGTAATACAGTAGGCTACTTTTTTTTTTTTTTTTTTTTTCCCCATTGACTGACTTGGAGAGTGGACTAAAAAAGTAAATAACAGCACTAGTCACTTTTGAACAGATTTATGCTCCTGCTCCGATCAAAGTTTAGTGTTGGATTATTTAGACCTTGATCAGATCAATAACATTGACCAAATACATTTATTTCATTGCATGACAAGCTTATTGTCATCTGTGAAGTGAAAACAGTTGTTCAGTAAAGTTACAGTCATGACCACAACCATACCCAAGTATATTACTTTAACCAGGACTAATGAACTTTCCCTGAACCTGCAAAAGTTTTTGGACCTTAGGTGTTTTTTTTAACCACAAGGGTGTATCGACAAAATACAACAATAGGAAACCCAACAACAGTGTTTTCAGTTTGGAATTATACTGGATATTATATTATTTAGATTTATATATTATATTTTATATTATATTTTCTGTTCTGTCTTTTTTGGTAAATGGTAAATGGCCTGTATTTGTATAGCGCTTTTTTTACTAGTCCCGCCTAGGGACCCCAAAGCGCTTTTACACGTCCAGTCATCCACCCATTCACTCTCACATTCACACACTGGTGGAGGCAGCTACAGTTGTAGCCACAGCTGCCCTGGGGCAGACTGACAGAAGCGAGGCTGCCATATCGCGCCATCGGCCCTTCTGGCCAACACCAGTAGGCGGTAGGTGAAGTGTCTTGCCCAAGGACACAACGACCAAGACTGTCCAAGCCGGGGCTCGAACCGGCAACCTTCCGATTACAAGGCGAACTCCCAACTCTTGAGCCACGATCGCCCCAGGCTTGTTCTTGTTTGGCTTGTTCTCTTTTATTTACAGTTTTATTTTTGTTGCCTGCACTTTCTTTTTGACAACTTTATTTATAATTTTCCAATATGACAAAAGTGCAGAAAAATATAACTCGAATTGCGATTACAAACACTGCCATTGTGAAACTGGTTACGCCACGCAGTGGCAAACCAGTTGGATGCAGAAAAATGTGTAATCTATGGGCACATACAAAAAAAAAGTACTATTACGTGAACAAGGCAAAAAAAACAAAAACAAACAAACGAACAGAAAAAAAAACAAAAAACAAAACCCACCAAAAAAACAAAACAAACAAAAATAGAAGAGATAGCTATTGTGTGTGTGTGTGGATAATAGCAAACACTGAAATACATTTTTTGCACTCACCAATGAATTTTGTTCACTCAAATTTAGCTTTTCTTTGCTCAAAATAAATTTCTCCTCAAAATGCAACACATGCACCTGCCAATTTTTTTTTACGTGCGCTCAATTTTTTTTTACGTGCGCTCAGAATAGTGGCAGAAAAATAACACCATATTTTTTGGCTCAGCCGAGCCTCTCTGTTGCTGTTTTGAGCAGCCCGTGTCAGTCACCTCTTTCACATGTCACTCGCTCATCCGCTCATGCACTGCGGTCTCATAAGGAAACTCAGCTTTTTGATATGAAGTTTTCCCTTCTTACAAATATTTTTAAAAGTATTTGTTCGAAATAAGTATTCGTAAAAAAACACGTTATTTGTGCCTGTCCGAATACTGTATTCGGGTTCGGCTCCACCCCAAATTTGACCACAGTTAATTTGCATGAATGTTGATTTTCAATGTGCTGCTTAGATATGATGCTTAGCAATAGTGGTGACTCTTAAAGCTAGTCAGTGAGAACCCGGTGAGAATCGATAACAAATTTGAAACTGGTAATGGCTTCAGCACCCCTGCACCTTGCCCACATGGATGTTAAAGGGGAGTAAGCAGCACACTCAAGGACATTTAAATCTGTTAACAGTATTGTCCTATGTCCGTTTCTCCATCTTTGACCTCAGGAGCACCATGTTTTTGGCCTAAAAGGGTGACATACAGTAAAGACAACCCTGCGCTACCAATAGATTACTACCTATTGCTTGCGTGACATGTGTGATAAATAAATAATAAATTCATGGTAACAGAAGTGGTAAAGGTATTAAGTCTGTGAAAGAACAGTCAAAAATCTGTCTTAACACATTAATAATGGTGAAGACAAAAACATTATTTGGAATTTGATTATTAAGCTGTTAGCTAAACAAGCCCCCCATAATATGAGCAATCCACTTACCAGTCACTTCAGTCACTGTTCCACACTTTGCTGGAACAATGTTACAATCCATGTTACCTTCCGAACTGCCTTAATTCCTTGTGATCGAAAAGATTCCTCAGGGTGTTTGGTCCATATTGACACGGTATGGTGGAAGCAGCCGTAAGAAGATGAACACAGTACTCAGGTTGGCTCTGGCAGTTGAGTGATCCTAAATTTGTACCAAGGGACACAAAGTGGCAAAGACACTATGGATTCATACTTTCATGTTTATGTCTAATTCTGACACTACCATCCAAACGTTAGAGCAGATCAATCAAGATTCATCAGACCAGTCAATGTTTTTTCCAATCTTTGTTGTCCAATTTTGGCGAGCCCATGTAAAATTTAGCCTTTGTATCCTGTTTTAATTGACCAGAGTAGCACCGGGTGTGGTCCCCAAACCCAGTTCTGAGGCTGGGTTTGGGGATGTTCTGCATTGTTACATTGTGTTTTGACATTTGAGCTACTGTTTTCTTTTAATTCCAACAGTTTTTACAGACACAATTATCCTTATACTTTCTTTACATATTATGATTTTGAAGTGGGTGCAAAATGTACAGCTTTTACGAGCTCACACAAATCAAGCATTATTACAGATTAAACCACTTCTTCATGGCTTTCATTGTGCTGACTGTTTTTCTATTCATTTTTTAAAAATGGTTTTGCAGGTTGGACTGTTCCTTGGAAAAAATAAGCTCTCTAGATGTGTCATTTTATGTTCTAGTTCAGTATTATAAGAATTACAATACTGTGATAATTAGTTTAATTACTTAAATACTTTTAAAGTGTTTTTGTCTGAATATTTTTTATATAATTTTACTTAATTAAGCTTTAAATACAAATGTTTCGCAGCATTTACTGGTGCATGTTTACATGAATAAAGAATCCAGATCCTTCCTCAACCACATATCTATACATTTCTATGAAGTTCATCTTTGTAATATAAAACAGGACTGAAGCTGAAAAAACAGTGACTGAAAACTTTATTTTGCAGAGCAGAATATTAATATAATGACAATCATAAGCTAGATGTGCTTTCCATAGGCCTACCTGAGATTGAGCGTTTTTGTGTTCATGTTAAAAATATAGAAAATAATTTAAAATTGTAAAATTGAATTTCTTCTTTTGTGTAATGTAAATTATACGGAAGAGTATTTTATATGTTTTGTGTCTTTGCCTTACATTCACAAAAAGTAAAAAAAGAAAAACTTAAATATAGTTTTGACAATACATCATGCAAAGCAGAATGGCTTTCAATTCCTCCTGTGTATGGCTTTGTTTGCAGCATGCAGGGAGCGACCTGGAGCAGACTCTCATTCATCTGCTTGTCTTTTCTTACTGAAAAGAAAGAAAATTACAATCACAGCAATGCTCAGTCAATAAAAAAGACCTCTAACCTCTAGCATTTGCCGAATCAGCCATGATGATTTGATGTTACCTTTCCCCTGAAGGCTTGGAGGTCATGACCCAGAGTAAATATTCCTTGGCGGCCATGGAATCCAGTACCTTGTTCACATCGCTGGTGAAGCTTCCATCTACGTGCCTCTTGCTGAATGTTTCACCCCATCTTTCCATTTCAGATCTGAGTATGTACACAGGCACGCAATGTAAACACTGCCCCCTAATGGTCAGTAACCCCACAGTATGGAAACCTGACAATTTAGCTGTAAAATTTGATCTGCACTGGAGAAATCATCAGTTTTTCACATGATTATTTTCATCATAAGTGAAAAGATTGTTCTGGTGTAATCATTTCCTAACTGCTTCGTTGTCTCTTTGCATGGTTCATGTCTCATTGCACAGTGTGAGTAAGATACGATCAACACAGTGGAAAAGTTCAAGTGATTTATTTTGGCACAATCACAAGAAACACTAAGGGAAAAAAAGCAGTGGAAAGGGGGAAAATGGTTGAAGAAGCAAGAAGAATCAGCTGATTAGCTCGAGTTCTCTGTTTTGCTTTCCCCATCATGGTGGAATCAGACACAAGCAGGCCATTTTAGAAGGTTTGGGTATTGTAGGAGGAGATGCACATGAAGAAAAGGAGGGCGGCCTACTCTCTTCGGACTTGTCCAGACTTGAGGTTGGCAACAAAGTCTTTGATTGCCTGGTCTTTGAGGAAGGAGCTTACATCACTGGTGAAGGTGCCATCTGCATGTCGCTTCTCGGCAGCACTAAAAAACACAGACACAGACCACTTGATATATGTCTTTTTTATACTATAATATGGAAACATATGAGTCAATTATAAAGGCGCTTTCTTATTTGAGGTACCTTATATTTACACTCTAGTGCTTTTAAATGTAAGATTTTACATTTACAAGTATAAAAGATCAACTCACTAAAGACTGGCTCTGAATTCCTTACAAAATGTGTGGCTTGCTGGGCACATGTGTCAGATGCTTTGGAAATAAGCTGTTTAAGGCCTAAGGAGGCCAATGGACAGGCAAATAGAGAAATTCTTGTTTTATTATTATTCTTATGACGCCTCTGATTTATCTGCAGAGGCTTTAGAAGGGCCAGGCCCCTAGTTTGAGAGCCAAAATGCATATAAATACATGAGATGTTAGGCTGCTTTTCTTGTATACCCACACTCCTTTACTACTTTAAGCACTATGTTGTGTTACGTGTTTCACTTGTACAATTGAACACTACTCTGCTAGTATCCTTAGCTACTTTAAAAGATCAGTTCTAGTGTCTTTTATCACAAATTTCAGAGTGTTTTCACACTGACCCGCTCCTCTTGTTGTTCATCAGCCACCGAACAAAGTCCTGTGCTTTCCTGTCCTCCAGATATTTACTGTAGTCATTTGAGAAAGTTCCCTCTGAATGTCTCTTCATGCTCGACAACTCCACAGGCTCGTCATTTAATGTGTTGTCTGATTCAAAACTGCAAGGGAGAGCAAAGTAGGTACCACTGAAGTGTTTTCCATAGCATATCATATCTCTACATAAATATATAAATCTCTAGGAACACTAGAAGTATAAAAAAGAGAAGTAAAAGAAAGGGGAACCGAAAGGAAACACTTGATTCTTAAACTTAGCATTGTCATATATAGTACATGTATCCTTTGTCCTTCCCTTTAATCCTACATTATGTATCACTTGTTTCAGGGTCACACTAAAAAGTTAATCAACCATAGGTTCTATGTGTCAGTATCAGGTCATGTAGGAATTTACAGTACAATAAAAACAGTTTTTAATTGCATTTCAGCATAATCTTTAAAGCTTTTTCTTGTTTTTTAATTCAGTTGGAGAGACTTTTTCTCATATGCAAAATAAATGAATAATCAGGCATCATTAAAGCCCTTATAGTACCTTTTTATTCTAACAGTGCATGTCACTCTCAGACAGCAGACTTATTTGTGGTTCCTAGTGTTTTTAAAAGAGAGCCTTTCTTTTTGACGTATTTTATAGTTGACCTAGCTCTGAATTATGTTTCAATAGGCTCAGGATACTGGGGAGCTTCCCATAATGCACTAAGCATTTCTTTTCCCTCTCTGTTTTTTTATACACCACTACTGTTTAATCACTGTAGGGTCTTTACCTTACAGTATAACTGTTGTTGTGAATCTGTGCTATATAGATAAAATTGAATGGAATTGTTCTTGTGATTTAGTCACGAGAGTAACACAAGGGTGCTAAAAACAGCTTTATCTTAAAGAAGCGTTTCATTGTACCTTAAGCTGTCATCAGCATCATGCAGAGGAACCTGCCAACTGCTCTGGACAAAGCCGAGGACCAGGAGGATGCCAGCCAGGGAGTGAATGCTTTTCATGGTGGTGACCTGTAACAGGGGACAACACACACAAAAAAGAAATAAAACATTCAACCAAACAAAGAAACATTTCCCCCACCCAGAAAAAAAAACAAGAAAAAAGAACTTGACGGCTAAAAGTAAAATACCTTCTCCACTGCAACAAGATACAACTCACCTTTTCTTCTTTCTTTCCAAACACCTGCTGTTAGTTCCACTGCTTATTGCTGGTGTCTGCATCTAACCACCCTCTCTCACTTTGCAGCCTTATATATTGAAAGAAGAGCTGCATAGGTGGGTCTTTTTCCCACTCATAGAGTAACAGTTCCACCTATTACTCTAAACCTATTAGACACACCCATTACACACGGGGCCTGTTGACTGAATAGATGAGCCGACCGTTTGCTTATGAAGTCAAGCGTGATGCCAGCTGGTCCTTCAGTGTTAAGGTCAAACAACCGCAGTTCATCCTGTCAAACAGAAAGTTGGGGAGATGCTTTTAATGTGCTACTGTGTCATTGTGATCGGAAGCAATATTTGTGGTGTCATAACTGGATGGAAGTTGTCGAGTCTTCCATTCAGAATCAAAAGATCGGAAATCTCTCTCCCCCCATTTTTTGCATCAGTTGCCGTTATCTCTGTTTAACCAAGCTGACTATTCAATAATAAATACACACATACAGGTGGGTGATGCTACATGACTGTCACACATAGACCAGATATTTAATTTGCTGGAAATTAAGGTTTATCAGTACAGGATCAGGGCTGGAACCTTTCACTTTGACACTAAATTTTTCTGACTTTTTTTGTGACATTGAATATTGATCATGAAATAACACAAATAACATCCAGAAATATTATTCAGGTGCTGGATTTAAACATAAGCTTAGTGACAGCCCTCTTGCCCATATTTAGATTTTCCTGGTGCTGTGGATCCACGGCTGGATCAGGAGGGGTCAAGGAATCCCAAAGAGGCGATGAATGCACAACACTACTCAACTGGGTCTATATAATGGAGGAGAAAATCAACAAGACTGTCTTCATATAGTGTTACAGATTTTTACAAAAGGACAAGAAAACTTCAGGTATTACTATTTCATCACCGGGACCTTTCCCCCCAAGAGTTACGATACTACATGGAACCAACTGTTTGATATGACACATATTTAAATCAGATGTCTTTGACAAAAAACTCCCACTAACCCAGGTACACTAGTTTTCACCTGAGCTACACCCAACCCACTAATGACACCATACTTTAAATACCCCTTAAAATTGAAAGAGAAGCAAGAAGATATTTTTTTCCTCATTGTTAATTATTTATTACATTAGAAAAACTCCATTAACAGTTTTACAAATGTCATAAAACTGTATCAAATCACTTTGATGTGTCTATGCTTAATACAATGCTGTAGAAATTTTAGATGTCCAAGTAGTTCAGGTTCACTAAAACATTCCATTACACTCAGTTCCCATTTCATTCTTTGCATTATTATACTTTTTCTGCTGGCTATGAAATAACCTTTTAAACAATAAATGTACACTTAATACATTTCTAGAAAAATAATTTTTTCACATATATGTTTTACAAGGAACCATATCAGCTTTAATTCTTAAAGAGACAGATATTTTTAAAAGAACATATTACACACTTTTGACTTACCATTATTTTATTAAATTACAACGTATCAGATTGTTTTTTGTACCCGATGAAGGTCAGTTGGACTGAAACGCTGTGGTTTAATAAAATAACACAGAGCAAGACGTTTTTTGTTAATTCAGAGCTTTTTTAAACTAAATGAACATATCTAAAACAAGCTCTCATAGACACAGAATAATATTAGAACTGGGACAGTTTTGCACCCATTAATTTTCCAATACTAAATGAGTTTACATGTATTTTTTTGCATATCTTTATTCATAGAAAATAAAAACAGATTTTGGTTTTATGCAAAGCACCTGAGTAGAAAGTGAGTCATGTGGGTATAGACATGTTGATTGGCAGCGCCAGCGAGCCCATGATCCTTGTCTGTGTACCACTGAAAGAAGAAAGCATTATATGTATGACTGTTTCATGACATTGGTCCCACAATTGTCTGTTGCATTTCCCAAGTTGCTCACCATGGCCTCAAAGTCCACCTGTTCCTCAACCAGAGCTTCTGAGATCTCTGCTGCCTGCTGGAAATGGACATTGTCTAGAAAAACAAACCGAACAATAAGGCAGGGTTCTGTTGAAAGGTAACATAGTGGTATGATCATGGCCATTACTTTTGTCAGTGCTGATCAAGTTGCAAGTGTTGGATCTATTTATTTTACATCAGTCTGTATGAATTTGTTGATAATGATAAGTGCTGGTATACTAATGGATTTTCTGCAATAATATTGGCATTAGACCAAAGACTCAATTTAAAAAAGATGAAAAAAGTGTGCTTTACCAACCACATGTAGAAATTCAAACTAGTTTAGAACATTTCAGTTTAGTTTTCCATAACCACATTAATTTCGTTGCACTTTTCCAACGTCAGGAGATGGCTATGAGGAATGCATCTAAAACCTCCTGTTTGAAAAGGCAGGGCTGCAAATGTATTCTGTCACAGCGAATGAAAAATAAACTCTCACACTTATTGTTATTAAGTTTTAGGCTTATGTTGCCCCCCAAAATTATAAAATAATAAACAGACACAAACATAGAGGCCTTGTGTTGCTCACCATCGGCTGTTCCATGAACAAGAAGATACTGCACTGAATGGAAGTTCCTGGCCCTGGCAGTTACTGTTGTGTTCTGCACACAGTGAGATTTAATTTTTATGCGTCAACAAAGACAATCGCACAGCTGAAAATAAAGGACAGAGAACTTGATATTCCTGGCTGTGAAACTTACATCGTAACCTTCAGAATTCTGTGAAGGCAATATCATGTAACGCTCTGTGTAGATGGAATCTGGTACAAATAGACAGATAGTTGCAGATGTTATTATTTCATATCATTAATGGGATTGTAAAAAGTGACAGCAAAAGAAATACCATAAAAGCGCCATTTGGAGACTGGAGCAACTGCCATTCCACACTTGAAAACTCCACTGCCAGATCCCAAGACCATTGATGTGACATATCCTCCGTAGGACTGTTGAATATAAAAAACTCATTACTGCAGATCATGTCTTATGTACATGCCAAACACATTGACTTGTGAGTGAAACATTAACTTGCACTAAAACATTCTCAATGTGTTTAACCTTCGTGGCGTTTTTGTTTAACACAAAGTCTTCACTACTTACCCATCCCCAAATAGCAACTCTGTCTTTGTCAATGAATCCCATTTTGATGAATTCCCTTGAAAAAAAAAGAGATATGAATTTAATATGGTCATTGCCTGCTGATCATTGCCATCATTGACTCGTGATATTTCCGCTACACTAAGTTTCTCTCTAAATGGGAGTCGCAGAAACAAGTAAAATCCAGTTTTATCAAACTTGCTGGAGCAAAGAAGGAACCTGTTTGTTTGAGATGCACTGACTTGTCTAAACTCCTCCTCACTTTCCTTACCTGGCTGCTGTTATCTGATCTTCCACCTCTTTGGTTCCCAGGCTTTTGTAAATTTCATACATTAACTTGTCGCCCTGGTAACCGCTCCCTCTTCCGTCAAAGCTAGCAACAATGATTTTCTCAGTGCTTGCCAGGTAGGTGGACCAGTTTACTCTGTAGACGTAGTTTACTTTCTGACTGCATGGACCTGCGTACCTGGAACATCAAGCACATTCAGAATGAGTTTTTTGGCCCTACTTTAAAAAGTCTTTTCGTTTTATTTTTTTAAATGAACTCTTACACATCGATCAGTAAAGGGTACTTCTTGGACTCATCAAAGCCTGGAGGCAAAATCATCTGGTACCAGAGATCTGTCAAAAATATGAACATAAAAAGAGTAGTAGGTATAAGACATGTAGTAAAATAAATCATGCAACAATGTACAAATAATAATTTCATGCTGGTCAGAATTGAACCCATGGTACTGCATTTCAGCCATGGAACATTAGGATGCCTGCTCAACCAGAGAGCTACATTATTTTTCATAATTGTTTTTTTTCATGACAGTTTTCCAATGGGTCACCTTCAGGGAAGGTTTACCTGCTTAAACCTTCTATCATGCAAGCTGATGTCCTCTATGTTGACTGGTATTTGGACATCCACTGCTTTTTATTCAAAATGCCAAATTATTCTTTTTGTTTTTTGTTTCCAAATTTTGCTAATGGCAGCTCATATTTAAAACATGCCTGTCTCTTCCAATAATAAATATAAACACGTATTAGTGAATGTCATTAATATAAAAGATATTGCATATATCAGTGCCAGTATCTACCTATTGATCCATTCTCTTCCGTTTATACTCAGCAGAGTTGCAGTGGGGGCTAGAGTCTATCCCAGCTACCATAGGGTGACCCTCGACAGATTGCCAGTCTGTTGCAGGGCTAACCCATGCAAACACAGAGAGAACATACAAACTCCACATAGAAATGCCCTGGGCAGATTGTGGCCTCGGGATCTTCTGGTTGTGAAGCAACAGTGCTAACCACTGCTACTACTATGAATGCTACTACGCATGTAACCCTAGTGGAAGGGGTTACACAAAGAGGATGTGGGACCCATGGAATCTTCGATACCCAGCATCCAAACTGACGGCGAAACAACTAGTAGCTCGGTGTTCCAGCATTCGGAAGAAGGAACTGCTATCACAGCTGGAGATCATTGAGGTACAACAGAAATGCTATGGCAAGGGGGAGCCAAGATGATACGTGATATTATCACCCCCACCTGAGATTGGGTACCAAGCCCCAAATATGATGGAACAAAGGGCGTTGAGTGCGAGAGCAGCTGACCTGAAATGTAAGATCATGGTGAAACTGGAAACCTGGACCCTTCCTAGCCAGTTACCAAGACTATGTGAAGTACCTCCTTGAAGGTCTACTAAAAGATGTGAATGCAGCAACAATCCCTACTGCAACCATCAACGAAACCAACCAGCTGATATACACCATGAAACGAGTGATCATGGAGATCCATGGCTACACTGTAAAAAAAAATTGTAATATAAAATTATTTTACTGTGTATTTTACAGTTTTGTACTGTTTTTCTAGAATATCATTAAATTTACATAAATAGACTGTCATGTTACATTTCAAATGTAAAATAACATAACATCACTGTAAATGTAATAAAACATAATTTTCTGTACATATGCATATTTAGATTGTTAAAATACATTCACAAATGTATCATCATTTCACAAATATTTGTCCGTTATTTGAAAGATTGAACTGTTAAATTCAAATGTAATGCTATGGAAAAATATATAAAATGATTCTTATAAACTTTTTTTTACATCAAATAATGTTATTTAGGGC